TGGATCAAGGACGCAGCCAAACAGCGCTACACATGCTGTCATCACACAACACAAGTACACACAAATGGTGCAGCCCTAGCATTGCTAATTTGCTATGTAGAACATGGTCATAGCGGCAGAGATGCCAGCAAACAGATGGCTCTATAATGCTGCTTTTTTTCTGATGAGATTTCAGCATTCATAACATTTTATGCCTTGTCAAATCTAATACTAGCATTGATTTAGCTTAATAACTGGGTGATTCATAATTTAATGCAATACCATCTTTCATAACTGTAAACAGAACTGATCCTGAAGTAATAAGAGACCGAATTCTAAAAGGATTTTTTCCGATGTAATCTTAGCACAGGATGGAAAGGTCATTTTATTAAACCTTGGTGATAATAGTATTGATACCTGGCAAAATCCACCTCGTACATCAGTACCAAATTACAAATCCCTTTCACTATACAGAAACATATGCATATGTTGCCTACAAAAAGAGATTTCTGTAAATCTCAAATTAATCTATCATTCCTGAAGATCTATATCTAAAACACCTTGAAATCATTTGTAATGTGTAACTCCAGGCTCGGACCATTTTTTCAGCCCATCCAATCACTGACAAAGATTGGTAAATGCCACTAAGATTGGCAGAGGTCAATGATGGATCGACTTTGCTCTCAGAAGCAAACACTTAGGTGAACACTCACATAAAGAGCAAACAGTGAGAGAATAACAACACTGGGAGTTTGATGGGAGTTTTTGTCTTTCTGTGTCTATAGGGAACCTTGTCCCTGGAGGGAAGTGAGGGGTAGTAGGGCTGAGCTCATCATTTTCATATCCATACATAGCTTACTTTCTCTTTCGTCTCCCTCCCTCTCTTCACTCAAATATACAGTATACCCACATGAGCACACACATAAGCACCAAGACAAATCTAAACCTACAGCGTCAACCACATACCTACAGACCTGGGCTGAAACCCAGCACTTCAACCTTTATGAAAATAAATCAGGTGGCACAATGCGATGTTTGTGCTCAGCTTCTCCTTCAGTGGAGAAGGCTTCACTCTGTTAATCGACATCCTTCCCTGCTGTCCCTCTCCACCATTTAAATGTTCGCTTTTACATTCCCTCTCAAACCACATTTCCCACCGAAATGGCTCCTTTACGCAACTCCCCAAGCTCCCAAAGCCAACATGACCTCCTTATGTGTGTGTGTGCGAGTGAGTATAAGAATGCAATGAGTGTTTTTAATTATATCACTCTGCATGAGGATTTTTTTTTCTACTGGGACATTTTGGTCGTTTTCACAGCCTCTCCTTGTTAATGGTTTGTTTGTGTGTGTGTGTGTGTGTGTGTGTGTGTGTGTGTGTGTGTGTGTGTGTGTGTGTGTGTGTAAACGGGTGCACACATGCATGTGTACACACTTTGCAGGCAGTATGCTGCTCTTTATGTGTGTGTGTGTGTATTGCATATAAATCCATTCCCAACTTACATAAATAACTTTTCACTTTGTCTCCACCAGAGGCTCAACTGAGCAGACTCCGCTTTTACACAAGTTTCAACATGCTATTCATTCCATTCTATTAATACAATGCTTTTAATTTCATCCCACTGTGATGCAGCTCAGACTCTCACAGCTGAGCCTCTCATGAGCGCTCGCTCGGTTTCCATCACTCTGTGTGAAGCTAGAAATTATAGTATGAATGGAAAGTCCGAGCGCAGTAAAAGGACTTCACATTTTGGTCCGAGCCATGTGGGCTGAAGGAAATGACCTACCAGCTTTTCAAAACATCCCTGTGGCTGGGTTTGGGGCCAGGGCTCCGGCCCTGATTGGTGAAAGCTTAGAGAGGTGTTTCAGGGCTCAGTGGCGATGTTATCACATAGTAAGTGGCCTTAATGGGCTTCCAACTGTTTGTTTGAAGGACTCCCATAATGACAGGGATCAACTGATAACGGCCTCCGCTCCACGCTGCACAGAGAGCAGCCAGAGCCTCTCATGGATGAACTAACGCCACTGCGCCTTCATAAAGATATGGGTGGTAGGGATGAGTGTCTTGCAGCACACCCACATGGTCAATGAACCTCAGTTACACATGATTTGTAGGTTGAAGTGAAGCGCTAAGGTTTTCTAGGTCCACTTGCTTCCTATGGATTAAGAGCGAAGAAAAGCTATCTCTACATGTGCAAACACAGTCCGCCTATACCCCATCCCTCCCCTTTCCTGTCTCTTCTCACCTCTGTGCAAAACAGGTATTTCCAAAGACACTCTGGTGCCAAAACAGAGCGTCGCCACAAGAGGTGCGCCAACCTGTCAGCACAACGTGCACACAGAACAAAGGTAGGTGTCACCCGGACTACCTTTCGAACAACAATTACACACTAAGCTCTGACGCTATGCATGAACACGGTGCTATTTACTGCACACACAAGCACTCACACAGAGAAATGTCCAACGGTGCTACTCCCTTTATGTGGAAGGTATTTTCTCAGTCTGGCCTACAGACAGCCCTGACAACAATGAGCAGGCCTGTTAAGCCAACTCCTGGAGAAGAAGTAGAAGAAGAAAAACAGGGCCTGGGGAATGTCTAAACCGAGGCCCTTTGTCTTCTCTGCTCACATTTAAGAGAGTGGGGATTGAGACTGCTGTCAGTAAAATGACTTGTAACATTCCTTGTCAGGGGATACACCAGTAGGATGTTTTAAAAGGCGATACTGACAGCTGAGAGTTTTCCACCAAGGCTAAACCTTAAACTGATACAGAGTTGTATTTTTGTAGACGCTTTAACACATATAGTGACATTTTTGTAATATATAACAAGGACATGAATTGATTCATCAATTGACAAACAATCAGTCAACAACCAAACGGTTCAAATGGTTAATTGTTAAGTGAGAAAGGGCTAAAAATACACTGGTTCAAATTATTTTTCTTTTTTAATGAAGAAGTCAAGAGGTTGAGACGTAGTATTTTCTGACATGCACACTAAATAATCAAATGAATAAACAATTAATAATAAAACTATTAATAAGTCAGGAATACGCTAATATTGACATACAAATTGTAAAATAGGGTCAATCTCTTCACATAAGGCCGAGTTCAAGTGAATTGTCACGATGATCCTGACTTAATCTTTGACCCCAGCCTTGTTTAGGCCCTGAGACAGACCAAATAAGTGCAGTCTTTAACCCCCATGAACGCCGCTGCTGCCAGTGTGGATGTGTCAGTACAAGCAGCCATGTATTAAGTCCCAGTGCATGTGGTTGCCTGTGTCTGTTTGTGCTTTTAGATACTTGCTTTTTGTTTAAACTCATGCCAGTGTAAAAACCAAAAAGGATCCATCTGTCAGTGCTGTGGGATTTCGCTCTGCGTCAGGAGTATGTTTCTCGTTTTTCAATGAAAGAAACTCTGTGTGTGCGTGTGTGTGTTTGTGTGTGTGTTTGAGAGAGAGACAGAAAGAGTGGGAAGAGTGTCTCTGGTGATCTGTTTGCATGTGTGTATCTGTGTGTTTTCCTAGCAGGGTGTGTTCTTGGATTCCACCACATTACCCCCAGGTGCTCTCTCGCTCTCTCTCTCTGTCTCTCTCTCTCTGTCTGTCTGTCTGTCTCTCTCTGTCTGTCTGTCTGTCTCTCGCTCTCTGTCTCTCGCTCTCTCTAGTTCTGTGAAAATACCTTTAGGATTAGGTGGGCAGCAGCAGCAAAAAAAAAAGGGGGGGTTGAGCGTGGGGTTGAGAAGACTGGGTGTCAGGAGGGTGGGGGGGCGAGGTAGTGATTGACAGCTGAAAGGCTGGAGAGGTGCTCAGGCATGCTGCGGTGGTGGGGGGAGAGAATGGGACTGCACACACAGGCAGGGGGGGCTCTCAGGCTCTGCACTCAGCTGTTGCCACCCACACCCATCATTATTAGTCCCTCCACAGCCCACCACCACCTGCCGACCCCTTAGCAGTGCACCCAGATAAGGTTTCTTCTGCTTACCTTTACCTCATGAAACAAAAGTGCTCATTCTCTTTCCTCTCTCTCTCTCTCTCTTTCATCCTCAGCAGTTAATTATGCCACTGTGGTTTTTAATACTTTCTGACCAACAATCCTGATGCTGATTAAAAACCTGCATCTTACAACTAACTTTCAACGATAAGTGATGTATGTCGGCAGCATTTGTGTAATCTGCCTGGTTTTTCCATGACAGAAAAACACACTGGATTGTCAACAATCTCCTCTTTGTGCTCTGTGCTCCATACATCATCCCATCCTTGCACTTCAGAATACAACAGTGCCCCCTGTGGTCGAGTCTAAAACGACAAGCCACAAACTACAGGCTTAGTGGTTTGAATCCTGCCCTCAATTTCAGCTCACCTGTCACTCCATAAACACATGTAGTATATTCATTCAGAAAAAAACAAGTAAATAAATTGTTTGTTTTGTTTGTTGATGCTCTGCGCTCTCGTCACCTCACACTGAAAGAATGTTGTTTTGTCTCTAATTGCAGACTTGTGGGTTCCCTGCCTCACAAAAGCTCTGTGAGCGATCCACACATACATGCACACACACACACACACACACACACACACACAGAGAGAGAAAGAGTGAGAGTGAGAGTGAGAGAGAGAAAGAGAGAGAGAGAGAGAGAGAGAGAGAGAGAGAGAGAGAGAGAGAAAGACACCAGTGCAGTTTGTGGTCACAACCACACAATCTACAAGACTCTATAAGGAAACCACAGCAGCAGAGTAATCATTGCATTGATGAAAGATCTTCATAGTTTCTTAGGGGATTTTTTTTCTCTTTCACCACCACTCGTCCTATATCACAAACAGCCCCTAAAGTTTTCCGTTTCCACAAAATTACACATAATGAAGTGCAATTTAAATAGTTGTATTCTCCTCTTTCCAGTGCAAGCCCAAATTGTTTAATGTAACCCGAATGAAAATGACGGTGTGGGCAATATATGTAGTTTGTGTTCAAATGGAAAAAGACATATGAGACACAGGAAACAGTGAAACCGTGATGAAAATTACTTACAGAGAGCGGCCATCTCTTTGGGCAGGTCAGCACCAAATCTCCCAAACAGGCTGGTGTTGGCCAGCAGGTCAAAGGGGGAGTGGCTTCTCATGGAGTTGAAGGCAAAGGGGTAGACAGCAGGTGGGAAGCCGGTCATGTGACCCACCTGCTGTTCCCTGTTGGTAGCCATGGCGACAGAGCACCAAGGGGTCCGCAGCAGGCCGCTGTGTGAATGCAACCGCTTTCAAAACACCTGGAAATCCTGGTTGAAATGCTGAAATCCGTGGCCTCTTGAAGACCCTCAGGATGTAGGGAACTGATGAACGATGACGGGACCTCAGGTTTTAGAGAGGGAAGGTCGGACTCCGCTTTAGAACAGTCATCAGATCACTTTTCTGAGGAAGAGAAGGGAGAGAAATTTGTTAATTTTTACTCAAAAGTTTCACCACACAAAACACGAGGGTAAGTGTTTCTGACATGAAAATAAAACCAGTGGTTTGTGTTGAGGTCCTCTGTGGATTCCACAAACACAATTCACCTCACATCAACTCTCGTCCGTCTATGTTCTGGGACGGAGAATAGTTTACACAGTTGTAATCAAAGAAGGATGTGCAAACTTCACCCCAACAGGTATGAGAGAATGGGAAGGAAGGAGGAAGCGCGGAAGACGGCAAGAACCAAAACAGATAAAGACGTGAGGGAAAAAGAATGAGTGAGCTGTGAGAGGAAAAGCCAGAAAAACTGGGACTGGGCGAGGGGAAAAGAAAATAGAAAGAAGTTTGGAAAAAGTTATAACAGGGAAGAGCGGGAGGGAGTGGGGGGGAGAAGAGAGCGAGAAAAAGAGAGAGAGCTCTTGTTCCTGCAGTTTTGAAGAGCTTCCAGACTTCTACAGTGATTCCAGGCTATGCCATATGATTTAAATCACCAGAACTCTACTATAAAGAGCTCCTCTGTTCCTGCTGCCAGCCTAGCACAGCAGCCTGCCTCTCTGCCTCTTCCCCCCAGGACCAGAGGCCCAGACACGGGGTCCAGAGCTTGAAGGGGGGGGTGGGGGGGTCGATTGGGGTAGGGGGCAGGGAAAATGAGATCCACTGATTGCTAACTGCTGCTGTCACTTCCAACTATCTTCTCTTGAGGTCAGGCTCCCATCCCACAGAGTCATTTTGGCTCTAACCTCCTGCAGCCCGCTCGTCACTTGGACTCCACACAGTAGGCAGAGACAAGTCAGGCTCAAGTGTGGACAAGGCTGCAGTTATGCCTCGCTGTTAATACAAGAGAAGGAAAAATCCCACTAAAGCCTCCCATTTTCTTTTTTTTTTTTCATGTTTTCCTTCTGCCTTTCGCTTCCCTAGCGTGATTTCGAGAGTGCGTGGTGTGATCGGCTTGTTTTTTAAAATGTGGCTTTGAAAAAGAGCAGAGCCAAGGAATTTGGAACTGCTGTGGCTTGTGAATCTGGGAGAAAAGACAGGGAAAAAATCTTGGTAGTGAATTTGGTATAAACAAAGAAATGAGGAGGGGAGGAAAAAAAAAAAAAAAAAGAAAAGATCTAAGGCTCAATCTGTGAACTGCTGAACTGGGCGAAAAAGTGCAGAGGAACAGTGACAGGGTCTGGGCACTGGGGGGCACTAAGAGGTGGCGCCATGCCCAGGAAAAACAGTGAGAGATTTCCAAGACGCACACATATGCACCACAAAGTCTGAAACTCATACACATGCAATCAAGGACAAAAAAAAGAGCTCCCGGTCTCTCTCTCACATACACACACACACACACATGGACACACACCTCACCCCTTGCCTTTTCCAGGGCTCTGGCTCCCTTCCTGACTCTCTCTCTGGCTCTTTCTCTTTCAACAGAGCCAGTTAATTACACCCTACTGCTGCAGGCAGCTTCAAACCACCACTAATTTAGAGTTCCATTACAGTAAACTGTTCCACATGTGCATCCAGGGCCCAGGCAGGCTCGGGTGGCCACGTTTCAGGAAGGAGCAGCCGCCGATAGGCACCCACCCCCATCCTGCCAACACAGCCTTACTGCCATCTTTCTTTTTCTTCCCTCTCTCCACTTTTCTTGCTTTCTTCCTCTCCCCTTTTTTCAGCCTGCTCCTCATCTGAGTACTACCTTTGATTTCTTCTTTTCGGTTTCTGCTTTCCACACCGCATCTCCGCTATAATCATGTCCTTGTACCCAGGTCTTTCCTTTGCCCCCCCCCCACGCGCACCCCATCTTCTACTGCTTATAAAACTTGTACCATGACCCTGCGTAGAAGTTCCACTGTGCGGCTTACACACAAAAACATCACTACACATTTCACAGTGGGCCTAATGGGAGAAGAAGTTCAGATTGGAAAAACAAAACTGCCAGCAGACTCATAATGTGTGTGTGTGTGTGTGTGTGTGTGTGTATTATGAGTATGTTCTTGGCCAGCGTTTCACCCGTTTGGGTATCTGCCTCATGAACTCAAACCAGGCCCCATAAAGGCAGCACAATCTGTCTGCGAGTGCGAGAGAGAGAAGAGAGGAGAAATGAATTAGTGTGAGCAAAGACAGAAAATCAGGCCAGAGCGTACAACTGTATGCATGTGACTTTTGTATTCCCACAGGAGGACACAACAGTAAACTAATCCAGAAATTATGACCAAGCATGAGAATCATACCTAAGTAAACCACTATGTCACTGTATTCAAGTCACAGAACAAAGAAAAGAAACCGGGAAAGAAAGAATGAAACAAACTAAGAATGGAGACAGGGAAAAAAACATAATTTTAAAATAAAACCCAGTGACTTTACTCTCCCCAAACAAAATAATGAATTAATAAAAGAGTTGGCGCCAGTGTTTTTTAATGAGTCACATCAGCACAGCAGCTTTTTACAGAGCCATTTATGTTTTATGTTGGGTCCTGTGGTAGGCTCACTTCGCCAGCCCGTCTGGGGCTATAAGGGGATAAGGGGAATTTGGAGTGACCTCATCCCCTGTTAGCCAGGGCCAAATGGGCATAGAGGGCCTCCCCACTTCCCCTGAGCCTGGGGGGCACACAGGAGGCAGCAGGCGGCCAGGCAGGCGAGGAGCACCAGGGCCAGCGATGGGTGGGTTCACGGCTGCTGCTGGGACTTTCCGTCAGTTTCTTGGAGGTACACTGTGGCAGTTTAGATTTACTTTAGTTGTTTCTGTAAATAGTGGAGTGTCAGACCTCACAGTAGTTCATCATGTTAGAGCAGACTCATTGGTTACACTTGAGATTGATTTTATCAGGACAAGATGTCGTGTAGCAAATGAAATGATATCAATCAAGTCAGCAATTTGGAAACAGAGCTACAAGGCGAGGCACGCTTTGAGAGAATGAGATTTCCTTGTTTGCTAAAGAGTTTGGATTTCAACTAAAGAAAACGGGGAGAATCGAGGAGACATAAAAAAGACAGAAAGAAAGAAAGAAAGAAAGAGAGAGAGTGAAAGAACAGTTCCCACAGATTGAATGTCTGTCAAACAAAGGGTATCAAATCCTCTGTGAGCAAAACAACAATTGCACCTTAACCGTTGTGACAGAGTGAGGCCCCTCAGGCATTAAAGACTGGAGTCAAACATAACAGATGAATCAAGGCATTTGAGGAAGCTCTGTGCCACACAACCAAGAGAGGCGGCAGGGTTTTTTTTTGTCAGCACAAGAAACCACAGGTGATTACTGTGCGTATATGAGGAGAACTCTGGGTGCCATGGCTGCCCCGCTTTGTTTACTAGAGAACTTTTCTAATTCCAGTCAAGGAAAGCATAAAAGAATTTACAGTAACTGCGTGTGAGGTTATATTGAGCTATAATTGTATGTTTTTCTTTGTGGATATTTGCCTTTTGAAGTCAAAACTTTTACGACTCTCCTCTTTGCACAGTGGCTCTTGCAGGGACTTGTTTTTGTTGCACTTTTCAATCCAGAAGTTTCCTGAAGGCAACAATATACAAACTCTCACATATTTTCCGCAAGGTAAAAACAAAATATATGTGTCAATCAGCTCACGCAGAGATGCAAGTCAAAACTTTAACTCAAAAGGATTTTATTGTAAATTCACAGCCTGGAGATACTGTACCATGTATCTAAGCAGGAAAAGCTTGGCACAATCACACAGTCTTCTCCCTCTTTTTTCCACCTCTGACTTGCCCACTCCTGCTTTCTTACTTTCTGCGCATGTCTCCCAGACACGCTCTTCCAATTGTAAAGAAGAACATCACAAAATGATTTATGCTCAGTAACTCTGTAAAGGAAATGACTTGAAGCACAGAGGGTTAAGTTTAGGTTTTGGGTCGAGGATGAAGTCATACTATCACAGCAGGTAAACAATGATTTTTACAACCAGTGTGTCTACACTGAGTTGACAGACTGGCTTTTCCAACCGCTTGGAGCCAAATGAACATTTAGTGTCATCATCGCTGCTAAAATGTGAGCAAACAGAGCTGCAGAAATGTTTTATGAGCTCATCACTGTTAAAGAAATGATAAAATACTCAAATTGAAACTTGATCAGGGCAGAGTTATCTGATCTTGTTGCTGGCGTCAACAGTCTTTTGGCTGTGAAAACAATATCTGCAGCACTATTATCTGATGCAAAGCTGTCAGCTTCCAGTCTTTCAACAAGTGGTTGGCTAATGGCTCTGAGCGAGACACCTAGTGACAGACAGTCCAGTGTCTCCAAACAGATCTGCATACCATCGCCTCAGCCTTGTTTGACATGTGCCTACGTTTGGCATCGTACAAACTCGTATTTGCTTACAGCAACTATGCAAAGTAGCACCTCTGTGTAATCACTTGTCACTTCAAGACGTATTATTTTTCAGGAGTGCCACTGGGGAGCGTCTTTATGCAATCTTTAATCATTAATTCCTACTTTTTTGTTCCTTCTCTTTTCTGTCACATAACGACCCGTGTTGACGTGCACTAGTGGAGAGAGGTATGGAAAGAGTGAGGACTCACAGTGAGACATAAAACACTTTGTGACATGATGAAGTCATTCTGACAGCTTGCTGTTTCCATGATGTGGTAGTGCTCTTTGGAGTGCTCAACGTGGAGACTGCAGCAGTGGGTCCAGCCAAAAAGCAAAACACACCACAACAGGAAATGGGCAAAGACGTGAGAAATGGTGAGAAATTTTGAGAAATAAACTAAGAGCCAGAGAGAGACAGGAAATAAAGTAAGAGAACAAACAGTCACATTGCCAACAGTGTGATGGCCTCTCTTCACTGTTGGCAATGTGAAAAATAAAGTTGGTGCTTCTACCACATCTCAAGCAGTATGTGTATTCACATGGGCAACTTTATGAGTGTGTTTCTCCACCTTCAAAGAATACAGACAACTAATGGATGAGTTTCACCACTTTTAGCCTCGGGAGTCAAAGCAACATTCAAGACAGCAGCAGGCCCAAACACACACACTCATATGCAAGCACAACATGCAAAGCAACACACATTCTCGCATGTCTAACTGTTGTGCCAAAAGAACTTTTAATGAGCGCTCGGAGGCAGGCCGAAAATGTAAATCCTCACAATCACAGCAGCACACCTGCAAAAACAGACAGAGGAAATGGTGCGCAGATAGTTTCCTTGTTAATTATAGTGTGGCAGCAGAGAGCCCCACGATTCCCCTACAACCACCTGTCTAACTCCTCCCCACCACTTGGCCTTAATTGCGATAGAAATTCCAGAAAAAGACAGGTATCAACAACTCCCAGATTTACTGCTCAAAGTGCTGTCAGAGGATTTTGCAACACAGACGCTTATATGGGTCCACCATTGTTCCAGTGGTTCCACCTGAAATGCATCATCACACAACCCACCAGGTTTTACACTAAAAATAAATAAATACACTGATAAACGTGGGTTTTTTTCTGACAGTTGTAAACATTTTACTGGAAGGAATAAGTCCAACAAACAAATTGTTTATTGTTGTTATATAACATTTCTTATACTTTAACTATATTTTTGATAACATTTAACTTTGTGATCCACTCCAGTAAAGTGGAAAACTCCCACTAATCACAATGTGCCAGTACAAGAGAGAAGGTCTCATTAATGCTTTTGTTCATAAGTAGCTATTTCTGTGACCATAAAGCACCATGTGTGTTATTACTGATGTGTGCTGACAGAGTATCTGAGCACTGACTAAAGAATTTTAAGGCCGCTTGATGTGTAAATATTTACAACAACAAAAAAGGGAGAATGTTTTTACTGAGGCAAGACGGCACTATCACACAGCACACTCATGAACACAAATACAGGGAACATGAGTAATGATGCGTACACATCTGGAACATATAACAGCAAGCACAAATAATAATTGATTCCAAACTGTGACTGAAGACTAGCACAAAGCTGTGACTGAACCATGTGATGGTAAAAAAGACTCTGTAAGGACAACCTGTCCAAAAACAAATAATAATAAAGACCTGAGGGTGGTGCTCTGAAGGAAGGGATGATCTCTGTTTCTTCCACTCCAGATGTCACTGACTGTGTCAAACTGACGGACCAGATGAGAGCACAGAGCTACAAAAATATCACCGGCCTTCGAGCAGGAATCCCTCACTCAGCTGTGCAGGCGTTTTTCTTCTTTTATAAATCACTTCAAACTGTCCCTCACACTTATGTCACGTCCACCAGGGGAAATAAACAGTGGACAGCAGGTGCAGAGCCATGGCAGTCCAGCTGCAGTGTCTCACCTACAGACCAGTAACCGCTGGAGCAATAAAGCAAAGCTCCACTCTGACATTAGCCACTTGATCTTTATCTGATATCCAAATCAAACAGCACCAAACGCAATGTGTTACACATGGCTGTTAACAAGTGGAACCTGTTAACCTAGCGCATATGCCAGCATCAATAAATAATCTTCTCTGGCATGCTGCTAACTATGGGAACACAATGAATAAACTTTCATGTAAACTAAGACCAGAGCTGCAGACACACCTCACTCCACAGGAATTATCCTCTGTTCTTTAAAATGTGGAAAACAATGAGTTTCTATTCAAAACATTCATATGTTGGTTGAAAAAAACAGGTCAAGGACTAGTGACTCCTCTGGTGAATACACATCAAACACATGCAAGTGTGCGCACACTAACACACACATACATATGCTAATAATAAAGAGCTCCACAGGCACTGGGTAACACATGAAACACTCATTAATAAGCGCATGTGTGCGCACAGGCACGCACACACATGTTCAAGTTGTTTTCTTTTAACATCAGGGTCACATTTATGACACAGAAAGAAAAAAACATACAGAAACAGTGCAGGAAAACAAACATGTGGACGTTTAATTGTTTACACATGAAAATCTGCTCAGATTTCGGGAAAACAATGATTAACTGTCGCAAGGAGCCTCAACTCTGTTTCTGTCATCAATTAAAACTCTTCCCAAGAAAATGCACTCTCTCTCTCCTTCTTTCTCTCCGTTTAGAGAGAGAGAAAAGGGTGAAGGAAGAAAAACAATGGTTAAAGTTATGGTTTGTAAACTTTCTGACTCACCAGCTCTCGTGTTGATGAGGCCGACAGATGGATCAAGAACTTGAATGGTCTGATGAGCGGCTCAAGCCCAGGAGGAGAAAAGATGTGTGTACGTTCATCAGAGTCCTTCTGACAGCAAAGACAGAGCAGCAATGAGTCTCTCTCTCTCTCTCCCTCCCTCACTCTCTTGCACCCTCCTCCCCCTCTCCCAGTCTCTACCTCTTAAAATCACTCTTTCACTCCCCAAAGACAGATGCACACTCTCTCACTCACTAAGAAATAATTATGCTCTCTGATTCATAAAGCCTTCCTTTGTCACGTGACCTAACACTTCAAATATACAGCACATTTTTTCACACGCCACAAAATGCCTGCAGGGAAGAAAAAGGCCCACAGAGCTTAAGTTTCTGTTTTTAATTCTCTCTCCCTTCTTTGTCTCTCACCGAATTCTTTTTTTCTCTTTCTCCATCTTCTTGGTGAAAGATTAGGCTTACCTACAAACTGTTTGTGCATGTCGAAATGGAGAGCCATGTCGGCATCTCTCATCATTCATGTTTGATCAATAACTTCACGGTTTAATAGGACGTTATTGTTTTTGTGATTTAACAGAGATGCTATGTTAATGACAAGCCAACAGGGTTCTCCTTCCAAGAACATCTAAGTGGTTTCACTTTTATTCTTGCTGTGATCAATTTATGGAATAAACATAATGGACTTTACCCTAAATGTCTGCTTGACACAAACATGTACTGTAGATTTTTTCATGTTTGTGTTTGGCTCTGTGTTTTATTGCTTGCAATGTTTCTGTGCAAATCATCCCACAGCAATGATAATAAATCACAAATACCTTTAGCATTGCTAATGCTAAAGTGAAGAGATTTAACAATAAAAGACAGCATGTATCAGGACTTATAACATAAAGTATTTGACAAAGATTCAACTGATAGGACGTTTAAAACAGTCTGACTTTACTTAGGATAAATGAAAATCCGTTTCTTGGGGGATAATAAACATCTGTCAACATGCTGACATTCATTTTCCAGTTTCAAAAATCAATGCATTTCTGAACCTAAATCACCGCCATTTCTAAAATGAAACTAGCAGTGGTAAATTAGCTGCAGGGACATCCTGTTGTAAGATGGCAGAGCTGTGCAGCAGCAGCGACAGATTTGGGTGTGCCCCTGAACATGCCCCTCACTCCATATGAGATCATGTGTTTCAGATGTGTGTTTATGTGTTTGTGGTTCTGGGTGTGTGCCCTTTTTTTCTGAATGTAATGTTTCTCAAGTTGTTTTGGTTGTGAGGAGCGACTCAAACCTCAGGGCTGGGAGGAGGAGAAGGAGGCACACCTCAACTGGCACCTCAGCGGGCACTTTCACCTCTTCAGCAGAGCATACATCAATAAAAATGTCAGTGTTAAAAATACGCAACTGCTCCTCTCCTGCTAAAGCATGCAACATCTAGTTTAATTCATGTCTCAACCAATCAAGAGATGCAAGAATTTTCAAAATAACCAACTTATACATGCACTACTTATTTGGAAACTTCATCTGAAACGATGCCCTTCAGGCATATTGGCCATGCATCACTTCACTCTCCTAAATCTCACAGGCTGAAGCATAATTTCAACCAACACAGCATGTGAAACTTTTCCTCCTCCTCGATCTTCCCAGCTATATGAACGTTGAAGACCGGCTAAATCTGCTGCTTACGTTGTTTGTAAACCTCAGTAATTGGCCTGATGCAGTCAGAGATCTTATGCTCAAATACACTGACCCCAAAGTGTCTCTCGGATAAAGTCAAGCTATCATAATAAAAAAAACGTGTTTCCAATCCTTACAGCCACATATGGCCCACAGTAGCTTACTGAAATGCTCTTTCATACATTTTTTTGATGTGGATTTGCCAGAACATAATCAGGGCAAATGAATGGATAAGCACTGAGAGGAACTGTTGCCATTTTGTCGAAACCTTATATTCAGGAAGCGCAGATCCAAGCCATACTGCAAAGAGCACTTCAACTGATCCTTATCTCGTTTACATTTGATTTATGTGTTGCTTACGAGGCCTCTAAGACTAACAGAAATCCCTTCACTGTTTACATAGCAGTGCTAAATCAGCAAATGTGTAATATGAAACAAGGAGGTAAATGCAGCCAAAACACATTGTGTGTGTGGGGGGGGGGGGACTAACTGTATACAAGCTGCTAAAGTGATGAGAAGTGTGAAGTGTGAATTTCAAGCTAATGTGATGCCATCGGCCTGAGTGAGACCATGAGTTTGTGTCAGAATGTGCAGTCAAGTGCATGAAGATAGTCATGTGTGTGTCACTGCGCAGGGCATGCTCTCCTCTTATTAAATCATGACAGTAAACTGGAGAAGATGGGGGCACGTTTAGAATGGGCGCACGTGTGTGTGCGTGTGTGTGTGTGTGTGTGTGTGCACGTCTGCAGTTGTGAATATGTATATAAGCGTGCTGTGTGCGTTGGATGAGTGTGTGTAGGCAGTAGCAGCGAAAAGGTCAGAGGTTACTAGTGTTTGTGTTTCAGTGTCAGTGAAGTGTGCTCCAGGCAGAGATTTATGATCATTGTGTCTGGGAGGCTGCAGAGTGGGGGATAATGAAGATAGATCAGGGTGCTATCTCTCTCTCCGGGCACCACTGGAAACATGGCCTATGGCCCCCGCGGTTCTCGTATCATTAACTCCAGCCTGTGACATCATAACACACTGCCTTGACATCAATCCTAACACAGTGTGCTCTGACAAAAAGTCGAATATGCAGTGAGGCTAATCCTCACAGGAAGTCACCCGGCAAACACGGGTATTGTTCAGCCTCTCTGGGTGTGTTTAAGAAGATATGAAATATTCATGGAAACATCATACTCAGTCGTGTGTTTCCACTTTAGACTCCACTGTATTTGCATTCATGAAGCTATGGAGCAGAGGCCTGGGGCTTGCTGGCAGAGGAAAAGGAGCACAGGCATGGGAGGAAAGAGAAAATGGGGGGGGGGCATATTGGAAGGAGCAAAAACAGGGAGGAAGTGAAGCTAGAGGGGTTAAAAAGAGATGGAACGAGGAGGAGGAGGAGGAGGAAAGATGGGGTTGGAGGGCAAGAGGGCCGCTGGTGCGGGGAATCACAGGCGTGTGAGAGAAAAGCGGAAGAAAACTGGAGTGTAAGATGGAGAGATGGATGGATTGCAGAGGGAGGAGAGGGGGGTGGATTGGTGGTGGGAGGTGAGAAAGGGCGCAGGGATCTGTTGCCTGTTGGCGGCAGGTTTTAATCAGTAACAAGATGCCTGTAATGAGATCACTATTTCCCCCACATTCAGATTGATGTCATGTGCAGTTTGGTGCCGCACTGAGACAGGCAAGGGATGCAGGGCGAACGCACACACCCACTCAAGAGTCCTCCACACACACACACACACACACACACACACAGGCAGAAACACATTCATAAACGCACACACACAACACACAAATATACACTTGCTTGCACTTTCTTGGTTACAAACTTAAACACACATCCTGTGAAATGAAGGAGCTCATTCATCCCGCCTGGCAAAGTGCGCTCGTTTAGAGTCCAACCGCCTTGAAGTAAAAACATACACTGAGGAATACTACTCGCAGGAAAATGAGTTACTCATGGCAAAAGGAGAAATGTATGTGTTAGGGACCGAAGGCCATATAGCACGATGTACTCGTCTAAGAAAAACAAATGAGCACAAAGCTTAAAAGAGCGAGGGAGAGCCAAGAGCTTTTTACTGCGGCAGAAATGAAGGGAAAAAGAGAAGGGTAGAAGGGAGAAAGTGTGAGTGTGTGTGTGTGTGTGTGTGTGCTTTCTGTGCACATTTTGGGTTGCATTCAGAGATTGTCGACACAGCCACCATGTGTGTGTGCCAGCACATGAGCGCTCCTCTTGACTGTTTCCCAAAAAACGTGTGTCCAATGAAAGGTGAACGGCTCTCCTGTCTATACTTTCCTCAAAAAAAAAAATCAGCCATGATGTCACCATGAACCCATCCTGAACCCACCTCTGTCAAAAAGCATTACTCCCTCTCTCTCTCTCTCTCTCTCTCTCTCTCTCTCTCTCTGCCTCATTTTCTGTTCCACCTCTCCCTCCTTCACGCTCCATTCCTGCCTCTCGAATTCTTCATGAGCTCCCATTCTTTTTCTTTCCTCTTTTTCATATTTCCGTATTCTTCAACATTTCCCTTCTGCCTTCCATGTCTCTCTCTCTCTCTCTCTCTCTCTCTCTCACACACACACAGACGCACGCACTTTTTTGGCAAGCTCGATCTAATTGAATAACCAAAAAGTGCAGCTGTTTGCCAAAAGTGCCAGGATGTTCTGATTATCATAAACTTTGTTTAAGCTGTGGTTTTGAAGGGGAAAAAAATGCTCTTGAGTGCATGAGGGGACGCCAGAAAAATAAAAGCAGAAAAAAAAAAAATAAAAGATGAGGAATAGGGGAGAATGCAAATGAAAAATGGGGAGAGAAAGAGAGAGAGAGAACACTGGGGAAGAGAGGGGTGGTGGGGGCAGCGAGAAGGCAGCCAGAGAGCCACATATGGAAGTGATTCTGTAATTACTGCAAATCTGTGAGCTCAAAAGGAAAGGTCTTCTTTTCCATGCCTCCTTCCCTGCACATAAAACTGCCCTTGTGAGAAAGCTGGGCACTAAATACTGCACAGGAAACCTGGGGGGGNGGGGGGGTGTCATTTGCTTTTTGGCATGTTGGGCTGGTGTATAAATATGTATATGATGTTGAGTTTTCTCTGGTTAATTCCTCTGTCCACTACCAGAAAAAGGGGTAAAATACTGCATTCAATATTCATTTTGTTCCCTGAGCTTAATGAAGCGTCACGGAAGTTGAATGTAAAGTGAGATCTGCCCTGAAATAAACTTCTGTCCTTCGTCAGCCTGACGCATATCACTGGCATCGTTCTTATGAAAGCACACATTCAGGAAAGTTTGTAAAGGAGGAGGAGGAGGAAGAAGAACAGGGGGAGAGGGGGGAGGAGGGTGTGTGGGGTGGGTGACAGACAGGGTGAGAGACGCTCAAGACAGACAGTGATGATAACTGTCTTTCAGGCCTCGGCAGAGCAGCTCTTTACAGGTGTGTGCGTTGGCAGCGACTTCTGTTCTCTGCTCCAGTCCCCAAACAGTTCGAGCAGCCTGTAATTATCTCGTGGGCTGCCGTAACGTGTTCTCGTGATGAGTCTCTCACACACACACACACACTAAACACACACTAAACACACACCCGGGTTGACGCAGCTTTAGCTCCGTTTGTTCTTGGACACACCCGATTAATCACGACGGGATGATTCATGTAAAGTACAATCCTTACCTTCTTCTCCTCCCTCCAGAAGTTTCAAAGTAAACAGTGGATGACAAGCGCACGCACGCTGCAGTCTGCCCCCCTTTCTCTCTCTCTCTCTCTCTCTCTCTCTCTCTCTCTCTCCCTCCCTCTCTCTCTCTTTCTTTGGTTTCTGTGAAGGAGAGAAAACAGAGTGATGGACAGTCAGGCTGTTGTGAGGGTGAAGTCGTCTGGTCTCGCAGCTCCGGGAGGTCATTTCATTTCGTCTCAGTCATTCTGGGTCAGATCACCTCCGCTGGTTGCCTCTCTCCGTCACTGTGGCAGCTCTGGGGCGTCGGTGCGTGGAGCCACCGTGCGTGGGGATTTATGACGCGGTGTCGCCTCCTAGTGGTGTAAAGGAGCGCTGCAGCACATGATATGTCAGCGGTGATGGGGCCGAGCTGGAAACAACAAGGACATAAGAAAATACAATTACAATAATAAACCTTTCAAAACGCAGTTTCAAGGTGCTTTACAAGGTAAAATTACAATATGAAGGCAAAGGGTAGGAAACAATTAAAAAGCAATGTGAGGACCTGACAGCGATAGAGCAAGGATACCTTAATAAAACAGGATAAACTAAAACATTATCAAATCATTAAATTGGCTCAATGATTAAAGGTGACTGAGTCCATTTTCATTTATATGGTATAAATTGTTTGGTATGTTTGGTTGTTTTATAAAGATATCGGGCATATGATGGTTAGCATGTTGAGTTTTATCTGTTTATCTTTGCTGATTAATAATTCAGTTAAATTCATTACTATACTGGAAGAATCTGCATTATTCTTTCATTTGTCTCCCAGGGGGTTTATCCTGGAATAAAATGTATGCTTCATTTGTCTTTTGAAGGACTTATACTATTAATGACATGACAGTCAGTGGAAGATCTAGGGTTTTTCTAAATCAGGGGCCGTAAACAGGCCCCAATTTATACAGAGGGGCCAATTATATGTCAAACATCTATGCACAACTGCTGACACAGTACACTGCACATTTAAAGGTTCAGTGTGTATAATTTTTTGATATCTAGAGGTGAAATCACATGTTGCAGCTGAACTGCCCTCGCCTCACACTCCCCTTTCAAACAAAAAGAACCTGTGGTAGCTTCAGTTGTCATAAAAACTCAAAAGGTGTTTAGTTTGTCCAGTCTGGACTAATGTAAAAAACATGGCGACCTCCGTAGAGAGGGTCCCCTCGATGTAAATATAAATTATTTAAATATAAAGGGCCTTTTCTGGGGTAAAGAAAACTACAATTCATACAATTTAGATGAAACACACTAGTGAAAACATCATGAGGATTATTCTACATTAAATTTCTGACAATAGTTCCCTCTCACCTGAGTCTTACACATTGGACCTTTAAGTCATTCCTTGTTTACTGTTAGTTCTATAGCTTTGTGCAAAGCCAAACTTCACTCTATATATTTGGAAATTTGTTCCTTGTTCAAGCACATTGTGTCCTGGAAAAAAAGCCTATAGAGAATAAAGATTTTCAATCAAATCGTCATATCTGTTTTCACTATGGACTAGTTTATTTGATAAAAAAGAGACTATTGACAGGACAGGGGCACTTCGGGGGTCAACCAGATTTTAGCTGGGGCCAGTAGATAAAAGTCAGTAATTATTTCATTTTTGTCGAGAATACAAACTTATTTAGTCGGAATTAAACTTACCTGGTGATCATCTGAGGACACAGAGAGAGAGAGAGAGAGAGAGAGAGAGAGAGAGAGAGAGAGAGAGAGCAGAATCCTGCTTATGTGTCAGTGCCATGACTTACCACTGGGAGGCGCCTTCCTCACGTTGTGTTGGAATTTTAAACTTGGAAGGTTTAGTTACTTGAACAGTATATTTCAAACTCACAGCACAGGGAGCCAGTGGGAGGGACGCACAGAGCAGACCTAGTTTTTTTTTTTCTATTTAAATAATCGCACAAATCATAAGATAGATTTTTAAAATGTTTAACACTAACATTTTTCAATCGTGTAATGTTTAACAGAGTTTAAGTGTCTGCAGTTTACTCCAACAGCATTATGTTGGCATGTAATGGATCCAGTTGGAGATCTACAGTTTCCTTTGGCACATGGGCTTTAAACTTGACACTTGCACGGTGCTGGCATGTCTCAGTGTTTACCCTCCGTTAGTAACGCCACTTGTCAGTGAAGCAGTCACGGTGAGCCACGCCTCTTGTCCATGTGCTCCATCCACCAATCCCTCCATTCCTCTGCAACACACGCTCCGTACTTTGCATAAAATGTGTATCAGTAGGGCAGCGCTCTCCCCTGCACATGCAGAGCGCACATGTAATGTGGCTTTGCTGAACACATACCACGGTCGAATAAGCGCATCACACTCCCCTCAGCTCCAGATCCCCACCAATGAAAATGCTCTAAAGCGTGAAGGAGAGAGAGGGAGAGAAGGGAGTCCGCGCGAGATACAAAGCGAGAGCCAAATCCCACACAAACAGACACAACACAAGTTGGAGCGAGCGGAAAGGCGGTCACATTTCCTACTTACCTGCAAACGTGATTGATGTGGGTGTTTGTACCAGTGGGTGTGTGTGTCACGCCTGACGCCCTGTTTGTGGTTGTGCTGACTCCACTATCTTGGAATTCATGAGATTCGTTTAGTCGTCGCTCGTGCAACATCACATCACAGGCAGTATCCAGAGAGTGGAGAGACCGTCAGAGAAGAACTTAGACATTGACAGAGACACCTGCCTCCACTTTTCCTAGGGAGCATCTTTACGCGCACTGGACGCGTAGCCATCGCTGCTTCCTATTTTTTGCACTCTGTGAGCAGGTGTTTTACGCAAAGCTTTTTCTCGACTTTCCAACCTATCTTCAAAAGACTTTTGCTCTAGTCAAGTGACATTCAAAGACGACCATCCTCAAGTTTGCTTAAAGTCGTCGACATCAACAAGAAGCATGGATAACAGCCCTGGTGGAGGTAAGATTAACTTGAATTATTTCTCACTTGTATGCAGCAACCTGTCTTTTTGGAGATGTTTCTGTTACTTGGTGTACTATACAATGATGTAGATGGGAGCTCCTTTGTAACAGCAATGCTGATTAGGACATATCTAATATGATTATGTCAGAATTGATATGCCTACATTATGATACTAACAATCAAAAGGCTAAATCAATTCAGCGCTGTCTATTTTGAATATATTATTCAAACTGAATAAAAAATTAAAATAATGAATTAACAAAAAATATTGATTAATGTAAAAAAGCAGAATTGTATTTAAAATTATTTGTACTAATGTGAGTATCACTGGCAATACTGAATTTGCTGAACTTTACCACTATTTGATAATGTTATAGTTATGCATGAGTTTACTCCGATGACATTTCATCACTTGTCCTGGTTTCTGTTACTACGGCACTTTGAGCAAAGTTGTCCCAGAAAAGTTGCTGCATTGCGTTGAAATGCCACCACGCACGCAGCAGCTGATGGACAGCAGCTCCACAGAGAACTGTGCCATATGGTTGTACAGTGATGCTTGCCACTTCCTGTTCCTCATGAAAACAAACTCACGTGCAGCTAAAGTACACGGGGGCTGTCACTGTAATCATAATCTGTCAACCCTCTATCATCTCATTGCTGAAATAAATAAATAAATAAGCGAATGATACCCTGCGTGTAATGGGCGTGTGTGTGTGTGTGTGTGTACTATCAAGGCCATGGCTGAAGAGCCTGCAGCATAAAGGTTGATAAGTGACTTCCATCCTTTAAGTGGTATTGGGCAGCGTTTTCTCGAGGTCAGCCAACGGTGAACGTGATTCCTGCTTCTCCTCTGCTAATTGACGGTGAATCATTTACAACAGCGATGGTCACGTTCCAGCACAGGTGATGGGCGCACCCTTCGTCTACCCTCTGATCTAAAGGCGACACTAAACTCACTCACTGGGTTATGACTTTTTATTTACCTTGATAAAGTGCTCCAGTGTTTTTCACGGGGAAAGAGATCATAGATCAAGGATAATAGCTGTAGTATTAGGCGATAAAGTTGAGGACTTTGGGCTGAGCTTTTTTGTTTAGTTTATTATTGATATTTAGAGGGTTAGGGTTAGTGAGTATGCATGTGTGTCTTGGTGAATCAGTTGGTTATTTGAAAGTTTTTATTTCTTTTTCAAACAGTTAATTTAGGTATCTCTACAGACTTATTTAAATGACTTTGTTTTCAATGCTGCAAAAGTGTTTTGCCATTTTATTTCTCCTCCTCTCATAAGTGACCACCCTGAATTTTGTTCATTGACTTTTAATATTTCAATAAGGATTTTGGAATGCACATGACTTCATTTCACTTATGACTTCAGTGGGAATCTAAACAAAGCTCATAAACATCATAATAACCTGTCAAAAGATACGGCTGCAGTGCTGGGCTCATAAAGTCCAGTAGATCAAATGAGATTGTGGTCGTGCATTTGGTTGTGCGAGCCTGTGTGTGTGTATTTTTGTCATCTCTTTGGGACATTTTTCCGGGATAAATATCGACCTTGTCAAGTCCAGTATAGACAAGCCCGGACCTAATGAGGCCAAATATAATTTTAAGGTCCTGGTTAAGGTGCCAATTGATGTGAGAGTAAGGTTAGGTTTAGGTATAAATTGGTTATATTAAAATGGGTTAGGGTAACATTTGTACTGTGTGTGTGCAGAGATGATTGGGTGGAGGTTATAGGTATGTTGCATATGCCATTGGTGAATAATTGCTCTGATCATATATGAAGATCAATGCTGCCATAACAACAGATTGTTATGCATTTCTTTCATTGACTCTTACAAACATAAACAGCAGGATCAATATCGAACTTCTACAACCTTGACTTCCTGTCAAAGATCAACTCTGGGGGTCACTTCTTACAATGCAAATATTTAGTCTTCGCCATCATTACTTTACTCAGCAGCACTATTATTCTATATAGGTCACATAAATGTCAAATTGTGGTTATATGATAAGAAACTGATTTTCCTTACTGTTCACTTTCTGTCACTGACACCTCCTCTGACACTCCCCTAGTGGACGATTTCTGCACTGTTCTCATCATGTTTAAAGTTAAGAGACTTTTAACTCTGGCTCACTCCTCACCCTCAATTGGAAACTATAATTGGCAGACCAAAAAAAAATCATCAGTGAGGGCAACATCAATATTAACGACTAACTATTATTAAATATGTGGTTTAAGATTACATTACAGTTAGAGGGATGTAAAAAAAAAGTGGTAAGAGTTAGTTTGCATCAAAAGCTCAAACAGCATTTTAATGCGTATATGGCCATGGAATATATATATATATATACAYATATATATATATATACACACATATATAAACAAAATGACTGTCTTACAAGCAGGACATGCAATGCAAGGCTTGTTGACACCAATGAACCCATTCTCCCCTATTAAACTGCTGCCATGGACACCCTGTGCAGCTCCTGGCTGACTGTGCAGGCGCTGCTGCTGGTGCTGCACGGTCAGACCACCCGTAACATGCTGGTCTATTTAATTCGGCCCCTCCATTGTAAGCCCCTGGCGGGCTGTGGGAGTCCTGGCTTGTTGGCTGGAGCGCAGCTTCATGTTTTCCCTGTGAAAGCTCCATCATAAGCCTCCTCACGTGGCTTCCCTCGGAGAGCCGCGTGCGACGCGTGAGACAACCCTCCCTCCCCGTCTCCCTCCCTCTCTCCCTCCCCCGCTCTTACGGACGCTGCTGTGTTGATGCCGCCTGCGGTGATGGAGGGGGAGAGTCTGGTCAGTGGGTCAGCGATTCCAGGCATCAACTTTTTTTTCTTCTCTCGTCACGTTTCCCCGCCTCATGCGACCATTGCATTGATTTGTAATCCCCCCTCCTCCTCCTCCTCTCTCTTAACATCACAGACCTCAGTGCATGTGGCTGACGCTGACTCAGTTTTGACTCTGCAACATCTGCCCTCAACCCAGAACCCATTACGGGTTCAGGGCGCACACATCCGCTTAGTGTGCGTTTCAGCTGAAACGTGACCCTGCTGTTAAACACCACATCCCTGCTCTCTCCAAACGCTGCTGATACAGATATCGGATTAAAAACATCTCGAGAGTCCAAAGCTCAGCCCCCACCCCTGAGAACATCATATCTCCCTGAAGCGGATGTTTTTCATGTCCACGTTGGGCAGGACGTGGCGTGACAGACTTCATTTGGCCACATGCCATAAAAACACCTATAAAAAAACCCAGGCTCTTACATCTTATTATGGCCAGCGCTTATCATAATAAAAACATGTTAGAGCCCGAAACTCTGCCAGCACCCTGAGAAAATCACATCTCCCTGAAGCGGATGTTTTCAGTCCATGTTTGGCAAGTCACGTGTGACAGACTTGTTTCACTTGCATATCATAAAAAAAACAAGATAATAAATTGAAGATTTCAAATCACATCATGGCTGCTGCGGGTAAATTATAGATACCAGCTGTGACTGTCTAACACAATTCCTTCTGATAATTGCCTGAGCCAGAGCCAGTGTGTGATGCAGCATCAGTTTGGAGAAATGCTGGAGGCACATAGTTCTATCAAGTTCCTGTGATATTGACCTACTTACAGAAGTCTGAGTTAATGAAGTCTGCTGCGAAAGAACCCAGCGCTCACAGACTGGCTGTGTTCAGTATCACAAAATACTGTAACTCTTCTTTATATTGGCCACTTATTTTTCTTTAACAGCATGATAAACACTGGGTTGCTCATTATAAACGTAATAGCACAAGGGTAGATAGATAGTAACATTTACTGTATATAGAGGTTGGCCAATGAATGTGAGAGATTGAGGACAAGAGAGAAAAGGAGAAGAGCAGAGTGGAGAGCTGTTGTGCCTGTGAACTGCACAGTGCTCACGTTTCTCTGCCTGCTTCCAGTCCCAGGCAGATTAGCGCTTGCACGGGTAGGCTAAGATTAAAACGGGCACTGAGGTCAGATTGACTCCTCAATTAATGTTGTCTGCAGTGACCTACATTTCAGCTGTCTTGTGCACACTGTGGCAGTGTGTTTGCATGCACAGGAAATACCACTGTGCATGCAAAAACAACAACACCAAAATCAGTGAGAAAGTCATGTTAAGTTTGTTATAGCTGCAGTATCCTGCATGTGGCGGCTAACCAGCAGATATAATGAAGGTCAGGGCTGAATGATACGAAGTTGCCAAATTTTAGGACAGTTCCCCTAAAGTTAGGACCTTTTTTTCATAAACAAGAAATTTAAATGTTCTTAAAAGGACATAAAAGGAAATTCATGTAACAATATAATACATCTGACATCGCTGAACACTTCACTTTTACAGTTGAGTGTTATTACACACTGCCAACCACAACACAACTTATAGGTGTAAGCCAAAAGAATGTCTGCTTCAGGGTGCTGTAGCCACCACGAAGGGCTTTTTTGTGGTTTAGTATGATTATAATTGACATAATATAACATTTATGTCAATTGTAATTGTACTAAACCACAATATTATGTTAATCGGCTGGCTAGCTAACACAACTGGTTGGATTGTCTTCCTGCCAGAGCAATACTGCAGCTAATAAAATAATGATCATGGCTGTGTTGGATTTACAGCAGGTATGCAAATGATAAAGCACAGCGAATAGTTAATAGTGATGGTAGTGCCAAGTTGGTGAAGGCCCCAAAATCAAATACAACTTGGGTGCCCATAAAGGCTTTGGTCAGCCCTGTTGCCAAAAACAATTACATTAATAATAATGCTGCCAAACGATCAATTGACTGGTGATTGCAATATCATTGTGTAGCACGTGTGGATACCGAAGCTTTGCGCAATGTTTACACTCTAGATTGTAACTACACTGACTTCTCCACTGTAACACCAGACACATGCACGTGATAGTTTTTTCACACCAGGAAAACAGACTGTAAAACGGATTGTTCATTGACACCGTTTACAACGCAGTGACTCCAGGAGTCATTAATAAACTCAGCACATGTGAGTCTTCAGGTGGACATGCAATGTGTTTGGGTGGGTGGGGGGTGGGGGGCTGGGTCACCGCCCTCTGCATGTTTGCTCTCAAGAAGAAGGTGAGGCTCAGGCTCTAGTCTGCTGGATCTGTCTATGGCATGAGTCAACAAGTCCACTGACACGTGCTGCTGTAGGGATTATCAAAACATTGGAGCTAAACAAATACCTAGTGCAGCAAAGGGCAGCACAGCAACAAGCCTACTGCACTTATGCATGATTTCCACAAAAAGGCAGAGTTTCATGTAAACACTGTAGCATGGCTGGAAGTTTGGATGATGGAAATGTTTTTTTCTTAGTTGCACGTGCAAGCCAATCATGCACAAAAAAATAGTACAGACATCTGTTGTTATTGTTGATATTAGTATCATTTTGAACATTTACCTCAATTTGCATGTAATTGTCAGACCGTCTCCACTGTACAACTGTAAAAATGTACTAACTACTCGGTCTCTGCACTGTTTGGGCTTTTCCTTTTGCAAAAACGTGACTCACATTCCCCGACTGACTGGCTGCTGGTGGCGCAGCCGTGGCGGAGCCTTTAGTGCCACCTCATGCCCGGGGAGCCTTCCCTGTATGCAGCAAAGGGAGTGTTTATAAACACAGATCTGAGTGCAGATTGTTGTATATGTCAACACGAGGCTGGGATGGTTCGGGCGGTAACCATGTCAGGAGTCCATGCATGTGAGGCGGCGGTCAGGTGTTGTGCTGTTGGCTGGCGCTGGGCACAGTGCCAGGGGAGCGCGGCTATTATTGGAGCGGAGGAGGCAGCAGACCCCACAGACACGTGAGGCCGTGTCTCAGCTCATCCACAACGCATGACTGGAAATGCGTGAGAGAGGGAGAGAGAGGACGAGAGGGAGGCAAAACTGAAGGGGGGGGGGCAACCGCACACAGCTTAACGACAGAGAGAGAGAAAAAAAAAGTCCACATATTCATACATTGCCTGTATAAATACTGCATAAGCATGACACGGTATGATTTAGAAACGCTTCTGGAGGAGGAGACCTACCCGCTTTGTTGCTGTGCTACCAGTGGTATTTTTAGCGCCCCCCTTATCCGCCTGAGCGCACCATTATGCCTATTACACTCTCAGGATGAGGAAACGACGCTGCAAATTCTCAGAGCTGTTCTCTGCTGCCCAGAGGTTTTAACATTACATCACATCACATCCAACCTCACAGAGTAGCTGCACGGAAGGGAAATATAGCCAACCTATAAGATGTATCATGCATTCAAATCAGGCAACAACTTACAGGGAATGTTGAAAAACATCCTATCTGGCACTACTAAAGAAAAACAAACATGTATCCAACCAGATACACTGCAAAATTTAATGTGTGACATTGTATGCTGTAATTAGGAGCTCGATGAATCTTTATTTCATCTGCAGCAGGTGGAGGGGTCATCCTGTACGCCGGTTCCTCCGGCAGTAACAGTCCCAGCCCCGGCAGCCCTTCCAGTGGGTACCAGACACAGTCGCCCTCTTCGCACTCTCAGCCCTCATCTCCGGAAGAGTTTACCTTCACAGAGATTGGGCCACTCAAACAGAGGGCAACTGAGTGCACAGCCCCATCCTCCAAACTGGTGTTCCAGTTCCCAGAGGTCTACAGTGGCCCCTCAATAGCAGCCACCCCGCAGCACACCTACGCACACCCCATTGCAGGAAAGAGGCCATGTGGCTTCACAGGAACTTTCACCAGTAAGTGTTTCCTCTTTGTCTAGATACATAAAGATTTTTTCCTTGATGAAACCTTTTGCAGCTTATCTAACAATAATGTATTGTTCTTCAGAAACAGGTGGAATGGTCCTGCTCTGCAAAGTCTGTGGGGACATTGCATCTGGTTTCCACTATGGAGTGCATGCCTGTGAAGGTTGCAAGGTAAGCCCCTATGAGAGATATCATGTGGAATGATTAAACAACTTGATGCTATTGGTGAACTAGTTTCCTGTCATATATATTTAAATGTATATACGTTTGTGTGTGTTTCAGGGTTTTTTCCGCCGCAGCATCCAGCAGAACATCAATTACAAGATGTGTGTGAAGAATGAGAACTGTCTGATCATGCGCATGAACCGAAACCGTTGCCAGCACTGCCGTTTCAAGAAATGCCTCTCTGTTGGCATGTCAAGAGATGGTAAGACTTCCTGACACATTTAAATGAGTGAGAGAGACCCTCATGCAGTTGTGCCAGAATACCACAGTGCCCTGATTAGCCAAAGCAGCAGGGAAATGGGCAGCCAGAAAAGAGGCGCAGTACTAATATGTAGGTCTGTGTGAAAAATGTAATGCGGAAAGTCTTTTGAGGTCATCGTGCCAGTAGCACAGCCACTCTCTCTATCAGAAGAACTGCAGCTGCCTTGCCCTTCCACTGTGTCACAGCACCGCCAAAGATTACCATCTGTATCACTCTCCTAAGTTTCAAAATGTCTTTGCCCTTTACAGCATCTTCCTGCAATACTGTTACCTCTAAGCTCTTGTTCAGTTCAGCCCCTCCTCCTGCATGTACCCACCATGTTCCCTCAGCTCCCTTACATCTCCCCCTCAGACAATGATTTATGAGAAGAGGAGCCTTGAACTCCCTGAAGCTATCTATCATCTGGAAAACTGCAGCAAACACAGGAATTATTTTAGGAAATTGGAACAGGGTCAACTTGATTACCTTGTGTATGCCCATAGAACATCTTACTGCAATTAATGAGGCAAGGGATGCAAAAAAAAAACAGGCAGTGGTTGTGACAGAATTTGTCATGCGTGACTCTCACATCATCTAGTTTTAGCTTTGATAGCTGAACATTGATTGATCACCTATCATTGCAGATTAACAAATTTGCTGCACTGACCTAGAAAAACAATGCAGAATTGGGTCTATAGTGTACCCATACATCATGACCTACTTGGTGTAGTCTTCCTGTCTTCTGCCTCTCAGCATAGTTTTCTGCTTATCTCCACCCTCCAGTACACTGCATTGCCTAATCTAGTAAAGGGGTTAGTGTTATGTGCTTGACACTTCTGGTGCACGGAGAAATCGGGTGGCAAAATGCGACTCAATAAGATATCAAACAGTCAGGTCAACCCTCATTTGTAAAAGGGGATTTTGGAAAGTTTTAAGGACCACAACCTAGAAACCCCTTTTTTCTCCTTTTCAACCATTACAAAAACAGGAAAACCACATGCAACTGCCTGCAGCCCATAAAGAATATTACACCCTGATTTCACACCAAGTTCCCATGTGACTATGGCTTTAGGCAAATATCAAAGTCTGTTTGCATTATGGCACACGTGTCTGTGTCTAACCAGAGCAAAATGATTAGAGCAACGGCTCATTAGTTTGCATTTTCCTCTTTTAAACGTGATAAAATGGATTAATCTACTACTAAGTTACTGGCCCTATCCTCAAAGACAGACCCTGCAGGTAGTGAACAGAATGCTGTATATTTGGAATATAAACATAGCAAAAATAAAGCATATTAAGGTGCTGCATGTAACCTGAAGTTGAAGTTTAAGACTTGTAAATAAAGGTAAAGGTACACTTAAAAGCTCAGGTGTGCTATACTTGCAAAAGTCTGTACCAGCTCAACTTTTCTGCTTCATCGAACTCAAACTTTCATGCACACGCACCCCCACATCCACACACACACTCTCACTTTCAGCATATCAAAGTCTCTCATGTCAGCCCTCTTAAATTACTCACTACTGTCTCCTTAAGTCATTTATGCACTTGAAGCCCACCTTTCTCATCCTTCTCCTTCTCACGATCTGAGTGCAAGTGACATCACGCTCACGTTGCCCCACTGCCCTACTTACAAACGGAGGTAGCGAGTGGCAGAGGAAGGAGACAGGGGTGGATAGAGGAGAGGATGAGGCAGATGGTAGCAGGGGGTCTATAAATAGCCTCGCCAGCTGATGGTTACTGTGGGAAGGGGGATGGGGATGCAGTTGAGGAAAGTTTTTCATCTCAAAACTTATGAGATTCTCCTTGAAATCATTAAAACTTCAGGCGTTGGTTATGCTTTTGATGTGTGTTTGTGTTTAAGGAAAGAAAAGGGTAACTGTTAAACCACCAGTATGCACCTGCCTTTTGATTTTAAAGACATTTATTTGCCTTGGTTGTCACTGGAGTTCTTCTACCTTGCTCATATCTCTTTCCAGACTTCAAAAATCTGGGGATGACATTAATTTTAAAGGCAGCAAAATAGAGGTCAAACAATAGAGCAAAAAACATGTCCAGTGTTAATCTCCATGTTGTCACAATGACTTGTGGCTGATCTGTCCTCACTGCTTGTGTCTTCACCAGCTGTACGTTTTGGCCGCATCCCTAAGAGAGAGAAGCAGCGTCTTCTGGATGAGATGCAGAGCTACATGAACAGCCTAAATGAGTCGGCTGCCATGGACATGGACTCATCTTCAGTGAGGGACGTTCTCCCCAGCCCAGATGATGGCAACTCAAAAGAAGCCATTGGGGCCATCTCTCGAGCCTACCACGACATCTTCACCAGCAGCAGAAGCAGCAACCGCAGCCAAGGACGAGTAGCCAAGAGGGCTAACGTCACCTCTAACAACAACACATCTCCATTTTCTCAGGATGCCAGTTTTCCCCAAGTCTCATCTCACCCCAACTCCACCCAGAGTTATCAGTCTTGTCCTGTTGCCCCTGCCACCCTCTGCCCGGTTGCCCCGAATGACAACCATCCCACGTTCCACAATGTGGACAACAGTCACTACGACTACTTTGTGTCAGCAAATCCGAACCACAACCAGTCTCATGGTACAACACCTCAAAGCGGCACCTCTGCCAATCATAACAGTTTTCGCAATGCAGGACATACCACAAACCCGCCCTCCTGCCCTTGGAAATTAGCTCCAGGAGCTAAAGTGCTGGTAAGTGTAGGAAGAATATTAATAACAAGATGAAGACTAACCAATGTTATGTCATGTTTGAGCAACAATTTTCAATTTCTATGTCTGTTTTTCTTTCTTTAAGGCCTGTCCTCTCAATGCATGCCCTGTGTCAGGGGCGGAGCGGTCGAGTCAGGAGATATGGGAATCCTTCTCTCAGTGTTTCACTCCTGCTGTCAAGGAGGTGGTGGAGTTTGCCAAGGGTATCCCTGGATTTCAAGAGCTTAGTCAACAGGACCAGGTCATGCTGCTCAAGTCAGGCACCTTCCAGGTAATGGCGTACATTTCAAATGATTATTATGGCTTTCAATAAATGTGACACTTATTACCCCTTCTTCTAAAGTTAAAATGTATTATTGATGTAAATATTTGTCTCAAACATATTTTAATGTGCCTCTGTTTTTTTTCTGCTACTTGTGTGTTTAGGTATTGATGGTGAGGTTCTGCACCTTGTTCAATGCTGAGGATCGCACAGTGACCTTCCTGAATGGAAAAACTTACCCACTCTCTACCCTGAGGGCTTTGGGCATGGGCTCCCTGCTGGACGCCATGTTTGAGTTCAGTGAGAAGTTAGGCTCCTTGGGGCTAGAGCCTGACGAAATGGCTCTCTTCATGGCTGTGGTGCTGGTTTCTGCAGGTGAGATTCATGAGTAGGTAAACTTTGACACATTTTGCTTTAATAGTAATGCATTACATGTGTCTGTCAATGACTTACCCTGGTATCCGCTGTGTTCTTCAGACCGCTCTGGCATCTCGGACATGTGGGCTGTAGAGCAGCTCCAGGAGGGTCTCATTCGCGCCCTGCGATCACTAATCAACAGACGTCGTCCAGATGACTCCGCTCTCTTCCCAAAACTCCTCCTGCGCCTGCCAGACCTGCGCACCCTCAACAATCTTCACTCCGAAAAACTCTTGGCCTTTCGCATTGACCCTTGAGCGGACCACTTGCACAAAGACACAAACTTATTCAGTACACCACATATTACACATATTACCTTCCAAGGGCACAACTTCCTTCAAACCTGAGTCACAAGTCACGGAGTGTTTTTCATAAAGGATGAATGAGGCCAGCGGCGAATATATTTTTTACATCACTGATCTTCATGCAATGTTTTTGGGACAAATAAACACACACACACTTAAACTCTTGTATATACATTAACCTTAACACCTCTTGAAAGACATTCTTCCAGTAACAAAATCAATAATTGTGTAGAGTTACTATTACCCTTTTGACAGATCGCTTGTGCATTTGCTCATTATATCCAAAGTACTTAAGAATAAAAGCCAGTTCACTTGTTTATTCCTTAAGTCGTACAGCATCAACAGGCCATCACTAAGCAGCAGCAGCTGAAAGACAAGATAATTTAAAACGGTTTATTACTTAGGGACCATTAGCAATGATCGACTGTGTTTCAGTTTGTGTTTAAAAGAAAGGGAACCTGTATATAATACATAGTGAAATCTGAAATATTAAGGTAATTGTGCATTACTATTTCACAAACATGCCATCTGCATTAGCACTAGAATGAGACCACTATTTCAATATGTCACTTGTTAACAATGTTAATTTGGCACACCATCTGTTTCAATATGACAACTTCATTTGTCAATCGCAATTTATGTGATTTCACAAAAAAAATTCTGTCTGCATATACTGTATTACATCTGGCAGATGGAGATGCCCCATGCATGTTGTACTTCCTTTGTTTATTTTTGTTGCTGTAAATATTATTTTACCCCAATGTCTATGTATCAATGACTGAATTGATGGATCGGACGGATGAGTTCGGTGTAAAGAAGAATGTACGGACGTTCCTGTACTAGGTGGGGGTTTGACCATGCCAGGGGGGCTTTTCACTGGAGACTATGTAGTCGGGATTCTTAGATAGCTTAGACGCACTTCCTGCTATCGGATGATGTAACCAGCTAGCATAATCCCTGAAATCACCAGCACTCACTCCACATGCACCCTGCCTCTCACCCCCCAATGTTTGTCATACAAACACAAGAGATATTTTTGGGTGAGAGATCTTATTTGATCAGTCCTCTCGCTGTTTTGCTTGTTTGATTATGGCTGATCAAGCACATCTTGTACATTTTGTAAATCTTTCTTCCTGGATAGAAATTATATAATGATATAAAGTTGAATTATGTATTATCATGCCTCTGTGTCACTCTTTTCTGTCCTTTTAGGCAAAATGAGTAAGATGCGTTGTGTAGCTGGGCTTGTATGGATCTGAAAAATGTGTAAAGCAACTTACATTCACATTATTATATAACACAAGTTTATACCCATGCATGCAATTATAACGTGCATGTAGTCTTTTAAAGTGGTGATTGGATCCATAACTAGAAATCCAGGTTGTATAGTAGACAACAACATAGTTCCCATTAGGTTGTACATATATCTCTATAGAAATGCCACAAAGCACAGCCTACATAAAGTAAAACAAATAAAATCCAACCTTAAAACTCATCTGTCCCTCTGTAAGCTTGGATCCGAAAAATGTGTAATGTAACTTACATTCACGTTATTATATAACACAAGTTAATGCCCATGCATGCAATTATAACGTGCATGTAGTCTTTTAAAATGGTGATTGGTTCCATAACTAGAAATCCAGGTTATACAGCACACAACAACATAGTTCCCATTAGGTTGTACATATAGCTCTATAGAAATGCCACAAAGCACAGCCTACATAAAGAAAAACAAATACATTCCAACCTGAAGACTCATCTGTCCCTCTGTACACTTGGACACGGGACGTCTGGACACATGCAGCAACTTTCTCCTGCCTCTGCAAAAACAATGGAGGAGCGCCACCCTCTGGTGAAACTGTAGATCCCGGAAGTAAAGGGTCTGTTTGCTAATACAGACAAGCTAGCTTAGCCGTATCCTCCACTATCAGTTAGCGAGATAAGTTCAATGTTATCACTTTGCAGGTGGTCGTCTCTACTATGGGACTGCTGTCAAACGACACGGTAAGAAATAAAACATAGCTTAACACAGGTTATAGAGGAAAACACACTGAACGTTGGCGCAAGCTACAACGATTCTGTCTGAGTTGCAGGTTATCTTGTAGTCTAGCGTTAGCTTCATAGCTATAGCATGTAGGGTGCACCTGGGAGATATCAGTGGCCGACGTGTGGAGATAACTCATCGGTTTTAGGTATTTAATGCACACATTAGTCGTGTTGTCGCAGACGGTTTGATATCGTAGCCAAACTTTTAAAAGTGGAGCTTGTTGGCCGACTTTGCAACGACTTCACAAGTGTAGACCTGAAGTTGTCCAGCAAACGCTCCTCTGGCTCGACGCCTCCCGCAGCTAGTGGAGGCGTGTTTCCAACCAGGCCACACCAGAGCAGGGGTAGATCAGAACTCTGCCCTCACACTTTGTGTCTGGGCAGAACGAACCCTGAGTGAAGTAAAGAGGAGCTCACCAGCCTGCTGCCACCGTCACCCTGTCCAGTGATCACAGTTTGTCCACTGTGACCAGACAGACCTCTCACCTGGACCCTCTATTTGTCACATCTGTTCTCTATCGTCTTTCAATGGGGAATGTGACTCTGTGTATATTCCCACTGATTCCCACTGTATAGTAACATATTACAGAACTTCACTTTACAATGGAAATTCAAGACATTTTAAAGTCATCAGTAAATCGAGTGCCTCATATTTCATTCTTCATCATTTCAAGATACCATGAATATATGTGGTTAGAGATTAGTCCCAGGTCTAGATCAACAACAAGGAATTAAATAACAGTTTCACAAATTGTGTTTGAAACAGTCTTTAGCTTCTCTGGTTAAATTTAATCCAGGTTTGATAAATCAAGGAGTGGTGATTTTATTTTTTTCATCTGGGCCTGGTTTGATGTGGTCAGGTCTTTTTTGCTTTCTCAAATAAAGGTTCAGGAATCTGACAGTGATTAAGGCTTTCATTGTTACTTTATTAATTAAACAGCTTTCAATTGTAAAAGAATTACATACAAATAAATTGTGTTAAAATTAAATACTGCAATTATTATTAATGGATCAACCATTAATGAGTCTGGATGTTGATTCAAAGCTTTACATGGTTCTATAGGCTTTAAAAGGAATGAGAGATTGTATTGTTTTAATGTCATTCATATCTCTTAATATGTTTGTTCTGTGTTATATAGCATTATTATTATTATTACTACCCATAACTATGCCCTTAACTGTTAATCAGAAGCTAATTTCAATATTGTTTATCTGCTTGTATACACTTCATGTTCTCCTTGTCTCTGTATAGGTGCTGAGAAACAGAAAGACGAGAGTTGCCAACAGCCCAAGACCCCAGCTTTGACCTCAAGTGGGTGCAGTTAATCACACCATGTTGGTGACTACGTATCTGGCCATCATTTTCCTGCTTGCCCTCTGTGTTGGCCTCGAGCTCACTGCACGCCGCCTCACCCCACCTCAGTCTACTCCAACTGCGCTTGCCAACCCAGCCTTCCGTCGCTTCCAGAGTATATTCCTCCGTGCATACCTTTTGGCTTTGTGGGCAGACTGGCTCCAGGGTCCTTACCTCTACAAACTTTACCGTCACTACAGCTTCCTGGAATCCCAAATAGCCATCTTATATGTGTGTGGCCTGGCTTCCTGTGTTCTGTTTGCCCCTGTTTCAGGCTGGCTCCCTCAAGCCTTGGGCCGTAGACGGACATGTCTTCTCTTCTGCCTGTCCTACTCAGCGTGTTGTCTCACCAAGCTTTCCAGAGATTACTTTGTTTTGATTGTGGGCCGTGTCCTGGGGGGTCTGTCCACGTCCCTGCTTGCCACCACATTTGAAGCCTGGTACGTGCACCAACATGTAGAAGTTCATGACTTTCCAAAGGAGTGGATCCCCAGCACCTTCGCTAAAGCAGCTACCTGGAACCACGGACTCGCTGTTGGAGCGGGGCTGGTAGCTAACTTGCTGGCTGAGTGGCTGCATCTGGGGCCGGTGGCTCCCTTTCTCCTGGCTGTTCCCTGCCTGGTGTGCTGCGGCTGGGTGGTGCTAACAGACTGGGGCAAGGAAGAGACTGAAAGAGGCCCTGAAGGGGACAAACAGACACTGCTTGGCAATTCAATTGGAGGTGTGACACATTTGTCTGCAAAGGCCCGGTTCTCACGCAGCTGCCATGAGGGGCTGCGCTGCCTACTTTCAGACAGGAGAGTTATTCTCTTGGGTGGAGTGCAGGCTCTGTTTGAAAGTGTCCTCTACATCTTTGTTTTCCTGTGGACTCCAGTACTGGACCCTCATGGGCCCCCTTTAGGAATAGTTTTCTCTTGTCTGATGGCTGCCAGTATGGCTGGCTCCTTGCTGTACCGCCTAGCAACCTCCACTCGTTACCGTCTACAGCCTGGCCATGTGCTCTGTCTGGCTGTGCTGATGGCTTTCTTCTCTCTATTCATGCTGACCTTTTCCACCGCTGCAGGCCAGCCTAGACCCCATGAATCGTTCCTGGCCTTCCTGCTGCTGGAGTTGGCCTGTGGGCTCTATTTCCCAGCATTCAGTTTTCTCCAGGGCAGGGTTATCCCAGAGGAGAAGCGGGCTGGTGTGCTGGCCTGGTTCCGGGTGCCTCTGCACCTGCTGGCCTGCCTCGGGTTGCTGGCCCTCCATGGAGAGGTATCGGGAACAGGTGGAGGGGAGGCTGGCAGCGGCACCAGACACATGTTTGGGGGCTGTGCCGTCATGATGCTGGCAGCTTTGATGGCGGTCGTTAGTCTGTTCACTCTGGGCAGAAATGACACAGATCTTAAACTGGAGGAAACCAGAGAGGAGGGTGAGATGTACTGAGGAGATGAACTACGTACATATGTGCTTTCGAAAGAGTTATACCAGTTTTGTGAAACTGAAAGTATAAAGCTAATTTGTATGAACAGATTCTACATCTACATCTTGCCAAATGTTTCAGTGAAGAAAATCAAAGGTCAAAGGTGGTGTTTGGAGGGATTAGATTTAAATTATATTTTCCTTTTTATATGTTTATTTTTGCTTTTTGGGAAAGACTTTTAATAGTTCTGTCTGTTTAGGGATGTTTGTTGAAAATGGCCATTTCAGTCTTCCTTTTTTAAGTTATGTCTCTTATCATTCCAATAATTATTTCATATAACATGCAGTTGACTCAATGTGTCCACCACAGGATCCGGTATAATGAATTTCACCTGCTATTGGGGATTACTCATTCTGCAGTTTTATCAAATGGAAAGACATTCATTTACAGTGAGCAAAAGAAACATCCAAACAAATAATTTCATGAATGTCATGAATGTCATCTGAATGTCAGTTTGTACATTACTTCCTGCACAGTACTTTGGTTTCTGAATGTTTGTTTTAAGCCAGATTTACTCTACTGGCACCGGCATATTTTCTTGGTGTCTCTGTTCATTGCAGTTTTAAATAAAAGAATTAATATTATACATGATTTATTTATTGGAATTGCTATTCTGTGGCAAATTAAAGTTTTATTATGTTAACTTGTATGCTGTTGTTTCGAGTAGGGACCTCAAATCATACGAATTGGTCCAACATTAGATAGTCAGATATTTTAAATTACCATATTTTAAATGGGAAATGTTCTCACATAGTCTTTTGATTGAATTCACAATTAACAGAACCTCTTTGGACTGAGGTCTCAGTGTCCTTATTTAAAAAATACAATATGGCTTAATTCATTTGAAAGATACCAGCTGGTAATTGCTTACATTTACTTTCTCAGGTAATTTGAAAGCAAGTTGACTATTTAAATTCATAGCAGAAATTGTGTTATTACTGAATTAAGACAGTTATTTTAGCTCCTGCGATTGCCCCATATGCTTTCTGTAGAGCATATTTCCGGATTTTTCTGGACTTTTCTCCTCACAAGGCATGCAGGCATCCATTCTCCCCGTTTTTCATGGTGCTGTGGTACAGTCCCAGCTTTTTTCTATGGAGTTGCGTCACTTGGATGCTGCTAGAACATCCCTCTGTGGGTGAGGGAGGGGGCGTCTGCACAAGTCTGAACTGCGTTGTTGTGGGATTACATCACTGTATCGTCACAGGGATTTTAGTCCGAGCAGGGAGGAAGCGCATTATCAACGAGGTGCTTTCTCACAGCTGTCAGTCCTCAGACACCAGAGCCCCATTGACTGGTTGACAAACAGAAGAAG